TCCCCATCTGGGTCGGCGCAGGCTAAGGTGGTTTTCGTGAATTATGGGCGGGAAGAGGACTACCGTACGTTACGCATGATGGGAGTGAACGTTAGTGGGTGCGTTGTTTTAGCGAGAAAAAGCGGCTTGTTGAGAAGAGGTGGGGTTGTCGAAACAGCGGAGGTTAAAGGTGCGCTTGGGGTGCTATTGTACGCCGAAGGGGACAAAACAGTGGGTGGCGTGGAGAGGGGGACCGTGATGAGAGGGATCGGGGACCCGCTTAGCCCGGGCTGGCCCGGGGTTGAAGGAGGGGAAGCTCTCGGTTTCGATGACAGCAAAGTTTCAAGGCGGTTTCCTAAAATTCCATCTATGCCCTTGTCTTTGAAGAACGCTGAGATCATTTTGGGGTCATTAGGAGGTCAAATGGCGCCGCAGGAATGGATAGATTCGGGTCGGGAGGTGTGGCGGGTCGGTCCAGGACCTACTATGGTGAACTTAACATACCAGGTTGGTGGCTGTAACGAGTGTTAATATCTATATCCATGGCCTTTTTGTTCTCTAACGCAAATTTTCAGTCAAATTATAAAAAAAAAATAAAAAATAAAGCGTTATTTCCTGGAAAGGAATTCCGTCTTTGACTTTTGTTTGGCTTACTGTTAAAACTAGTTGCGGCTTTAAAGGTGGTATGATTTACTTTTCATTTGACTTATCTTTTTATGCGTTTTTAGGGTTGGTACAATATAGTTTGGATAAGTTTAAACTGTTCTTTTTGGGAAGAGCTGGGTAAAGTTCAAACTTGAATGGTTTGAATGGTAGATTTTTTGTACCTTGTACAAATTGTGACGAGTTGGGAAACTTTTTTGTTAGTTTGTCTCATGTATTTATACATGTATGTAGACACATATCTAGATATAGAGGTAAAACAGAAATGACAAATATATTATGATTCTTGTTGGCATCTGGGAAAGAGATTGAAGGAATTGGCAAAAATGGTCATCCCTTAGGATTAGCTACTTAATCTTTTACTTGAACGAACGGTGGCTTTTGATCAGTTTCTTAGGGTACTTTCAGATGATTTTGTGCTATTCATTTGAATTGGAATTTGGCATTTGCACTAGTTTGTGCCTCTCCTGGCCTCGGAAAATGAGAGAAAAGCAATAAGATTAATCTCTTTGTTTGATTACTCTGTGGGTCACTTATTTTCCTTTCATGGAACCTATTATTTTGGACATTCACCTATCCCAGGAGTCATTCTCTTCATTGAATATCTGCATAAGTAGGCTTTCTTTCCTCTCGTGGACCCAATTATTTTGGACGTTCACCTACACCAGGATCAGATGCATTCTCTTTATGGAATATCTGCATAAGTAGGCTCTTAGGCTGCATAAAATTGTCTTATTTGGAATATAACAGGAGTCCTTCGAGGTCATGGACATGTGCATGACACCAATGCAACACCTGTAGCGAAACTATCAGATATTGTCAAAATTTTTCTATCAGCATGAAGAATTATTTTGAAGCCTGGCATTTTGGATTCTGTTTCGGAATTTCCTTATCATTTCTTGATTGATTCTACTTATTTTCTGTTTCAATAGGGCGACAAGAAAGTGGTCACTATCCATAATGTTTTTGCTGTCATTAAGGGGACGGAAGAGCCTGACAGATATGTGCTTCTTGGCAATCATAGAGATGCATGGACGTATGGAGCTGTTGACCCCAATAGTGGGACCGCTGCCTTACTTGATATTGCCAGGCGATATGGCTTTTTGATGCGGATGGGGTGGAACCCTCGAAGAACAATTATCCTCTGCAGTTGGGATGCTGAAGAATTTGGGATGGTAGGTAATATTCTACCTTTGTTTGTGAGTACTAGGCTGAGTTTCGTTCAAATATTCAATTATATAAAATAGAAATGAAACTACAAAACAACTAAAAAGTATTTTAAATGAAAATAACATTGGAAGTCCAAGTAAATTTTATTTGCAGTCTAAGGTAGTTGGTTTTGTTATTTTTCCTTGATAAGTAGGAACGGGAAATCATCATTCTGGAATTCAAGATATGAGTGAAGTTAGTTCAATTACGCTTCAAATATGTTAATAAGTATGACCGAGTTTTACATATCAAACAATTAAGATTTGGAAATCGGACAATAATTGGATAGTTTTGAACTAAACAGAGCAAGAAGTGTGTCCAAAATATGTTGAAGATTATTTTGGAAAGTCATCAACTTAAACAAGCGTTCTTTACTGCAGTTCTTTCGCAATTAGGTTCTCTAACATGCCCATGCAATTGTGGTTCTGCTTCCAGATAGGCTCCACTGAATGGGTTGAACAGAACCTTGTGAATCTGGGTGCAAAAGCTGTGGCCTATCTCAATGTAGATTGTGCAGTTCAAGGCCCTGGATTCTTTGCAGGAGCAACTCCGCAGCTAGATACTCTCCTTGTTGATGTTGCAAAGATGGTACTGGAGGATATGAATGAAATTAAGAATCAATCAAAATCATTTGATTGCACACTCTAGATATGAACTTATCTTAGTGCTTGTAGGGAATATTTGTGTTTTAAGCAACTGTTCTTCGAATTTATTTCAGGTTCAGGATCCTGACTCAGAGGGTTCAACAATATATGAAGCCTGGAAAGCTACAAATGGAGGCATCAATGTGGGGCTATAGATTCTTTTTAGCATTTTGTTCTTCCACCAATCCTTGAATCATGGAGCTTGAGTTTAAGTTTGCACTTAACCAACATGGCCCCATGAGAGGATTGGTGAATCTTATTAGCTGCATGATAATATATATATATATTGAAAATAAACCAGGTCTTTGATGGTTTATTTGCATCTTATCCCACTTTTTGTTTTTCTGCAAGCAAAAATGGCAACAACACTAAATTCTCTTAAAAATTATTCCCAGAACCAACCCATGGTGTATATATTTGGAAGTTTTTGTCCCCTTTCTGGGGATTTGTTAGAATTGCAAAAATGTTTCCTGAATGCTGAATTTGACTTGCTTTCTTGGGTTGCAGATTCAGAGACTTAGTGGACTGGATTCTGATTTTGCTCCATTTGTACACCATGCTGGGGTTCCATCCATTGATATCTACTATGGAGAAGGTAAATCTCTCTAACCAAAAACTGAACTTGGTCTTAATTTCTCCCAAGGCCTGGCAATCTATCTTGGCTTTAATTAGAGTTGAGCAGTTTTCCTCTTTTACCAAATAGGATCTACTCCAAAGCTTGGAAATTATCCTTCTTCTCTACTTGTCACCTTGAGAAGTGGTGCTAAATCTACTTTTGTGGGTTTTTGGTATCATGTTTATTGTTTGGGAGTTAATAATTTTTTTTTGGAAATATAAAGTTGGTGTTAAAAGCAACAAGTGGGTGCAAAAATACAAAAGCTCTACAATTCTGTCAGCAAGTCAATAAAGGCCATTAAATCCTCACAAGACTAGGGGAGATGACCCATAATAAAAAAGCTACGGTCTGCAACCAAGAATTTGCGAGTTAATAAACACTGCTAGTCTAGTGAAGCTCTGGTGGTAGTGGCACCATGGAACCAACATGCATTTGTTCCTTAAGTGCACAAGAAAGCTGAACTAGGATAATGTTTTCCCAGAAATGACTGAAGGCAAACTTGACGTGGCCAGAAAAACTGAGAACATTGTTTCTGGTGGTACCTGGGAATAACTGTGCTGCAAGTATATATTTGTATTTTAATGGATCTTCTATCATTCAGATTTTCCTGTCTATCACACTGCATTTGATTCCTTTGAGTGGATGATAAACTACGCAGATCCATCGTTTCAGCGTCATGTTGCTGGTTAGTTTCCTTTCCTTCCGACATTCTTATTAATCACCAGTTTTTGTCATAACATCTTCGAGTTAACATTTCCATTTTTTTAATTCTCAGTTGCTGGAATTTGGGGTCTTCTAGCCCTTCATCTAGCTGATGATTCAATTCTTCCTTTCAATTACATCTCTTATGCGGATCAGCTACAGGTGTGAATATATCTTCACTTAACACCTGAGAGGTTCCCCAGCCCCCTTCCAAGTAGGAAAACAATGTTTAGCTACAATATATATAGGATCGGGCCTTGATATGGATGAGTACAAAAATAAAATTAAAAAATAAATCCATTTGACTTCATAATATAAATCAAAGTCACCATTCTCTTCAGTTTAGATGAACTACATATTCTAAGGTCTAAAAAGGAAGATAAGAATATTTAGCTTTTGCAAAATTATGTACAAAGAAAATATGAGCATGATCGTATATTTTTATGTGCTTGATTATCTTAGTTGGAGACATTTTGGATTATTAAGTCGTGTGATAGGTCTAAAGCCTAAGATTGTCATGTTTGTATTTAGTAATTGAACGGTAAATTCTGGAAAGATGGTGTGTTGTTCTTGCATTACATCTTTTGGATGGAAAATATGTCTCATACTTAGAGTTATGTTTATGCATTTCATAGTCTACAAAATGGATAACAGAACTCGGTTTCCCAATCTTGGGCAGAGCCATAAGGATGCCTTGTGCAGCTTGCTGGATGGGAATGTCTCTCTAGATCCCTTAGCTGCAGCTATCCAAGAACTGTTATTTGCGGCTAAAAAAGCTGACAACGAAGCAAAGGTAGAAATCTTCAAACATATACATGATTTTGTGAATTAATATGGAAGTATCCATGTGTTGCCTATTGAAGTCTCATCCTCTTTTACGACCATTGGTGTATCGTGCTCAATTTGTTGGGCTGCAGGGATTGAGAGAGCAAGCACGAAAAGACAATTTTGCAGCTTTGAAGATCCGAATGCTGAATGACAGGTTGATGTTTGCAGAAAGAGGCTTCTTGGATTCTGATGGTCTCCAGGGAAGACAGTGGTTCAAGCATCTTGTAAGTACTTCATGCCACTTGTCTTAAATCATTTAGCACATGAAAAGAGTTCGATTTTGTTTTTGTTCTACTCAAAGTGCCATCATTATTAATCAATGTGGGAAAGCTCGTTTTATGGCAATCTTCGCTTGTTGCAGGTTTATGGTCCTGCTGGTGAACAAACGAGCAAATTGGAATTCTTCCCTGGAATAGCGGATGCTATTTCGAAATCCTTGCGAATGAATAAAAAAGATGGAGAGGCAGCAATTCAACATGAGATCTGGAGGGTGGCTAGAGCTATTCAGAGATGTGCTGCAGCTATAAAAGGGGAACTCACCTGAATAATGATGAATTGACTGTGAAATCTCCATGTAATTAGTTCAGTACAAGGGAATATGTATATATGCTTTCTGTCCGAGAGGGAAAGAGAAGTACAGCCTTGACTTTGTATATATAATATTTCAAGCTCTTTCCTTTTCCTTTTTCTTTGATTTTTCTTTTGTCTTTCTGTTGCTCTCCTTGTGTCATGTTCATGATGTAATTTGCTGCTAAACTTCATGTTCAAATTTCGAGAGAAAAGAAAAGGGGTGATGCCATTTAATTTCCAAAAGCCTTTACTGTAAAATTGATACAAGAGATCTCCTAAGCAATATATGGAAATTTTAGAAAAAGAGAAAGAAAGAAAAGGACAGAAGATGTTGAGAACACGTTTTATGGAAAACTGTTCAAAAGAAAAAGGCAAAAAGAAAATTTGTGTCAATTACGAAGGAAAAAACGCGCCAGGTAGGGGTCGAACCTACGACTTTCTGCTTAGGAAACAGACGCTCTATCCACTGAGCTACAGGCGCTAGATGGGGGAAGTTCTCTAATTTCTAAATGATGATGTAATTAGAAAAGCTCCATTCTGGCGCTTTGTCTCGAGCTTCGTTTTTCAAATAAGCGAAATGGTGAATGACTTTGCTTTCAGTTTCAATAAACTGAATCGAGTTGATCTCGCTAATCTCGGAAACTATTCAGCCATGGAGGAATCTATGCGGACGTTTTGCAAGAGCTTTGGCATGTTCTGCAACCACCTCGAAGGCAGCTGCAACGCCCTGAAGCAGTCGGTGGAGCGCCGCCCCATCCCTCTCGGTCAGTCATTCTCTTCCACCCGCCACCCAATCATGCCTCTCTCTGTGTTTCCAATTGAATGCATCTTTTCAAAAATTCAAACGCAGTAGTAATACCCATTTGACTTTTTTTTTTTTCTTCTGGGTTGGTGATTTGGTTAGACTCTGCATCATCTACTTTTATTCAGTGCTTGAACCGCCGCGTTTCCAGCGCCAGCTCCGACCTTAACATGCTCGACTCAATGTCGTTTGGCACCGTCTCTTTCGAGGAACTGTTAGGTCACTGCAATGAAGTTTACAAGAAGAACCAAGCCGACCTCGTTTCCCTCGAGGATCGTCTCAAGAGCTTCGGTTATATTCCCGGTAATTCTCATTCGTACATTTTGTCATATGATATACCTATGTGGAGTGACTTTATTGATTGTAATGGCTTGAATTTACTTCTCTCTTTCTCTTTGTTTCTCTTAATTTTTGAGCTTAGAAGTTGAGATTGATGAAGAGGAAGATAAGGTATCTGGTTTATCAACGCCTGTTGGCTTGGACATCAAGTACCCGGAGGACGATCTCCATCCTCCATCCTTATATCGTGGAGCTGCGTCTGCCTCACGTTCTATCATAAAGGATTTGGAAGAAAACCCTCTGTATCCTTTAATATGTTTTAACTAGCTTCGTATACGTCGTTAGAGAGTTTAACATCTAAGGTCTATCCGGTTTATTTACATTCCTCATCAAGTTCTTAGCTAAGAAAGACTCGTTAAAGCGAATCGGAGCCAGACCCTTCTGCATTTTTTGATTTCAGTTTTCTTTATTGGCTACTACCATATGATTCTTCTGTTTTCTTCTTGATGTTCTCTAGACTTGATGACGATTCACTGAGTCTGAGGAATCTTGGGCTTTCGGATGTTTGTCTTGCTAATTTAGCATCTAAAGGTGAGTGAAATCTGAAAACAAACCACTAGATGGACTAACTGAGTGCCTTAAGAATTTTTAGTACAAATTATTTTGTTACTTTTTCAATCTTTCTTCTACTGATCACTTTGGATATCAGAACTTTTGGCTGACAGGTTGCTAGATTTCTTCATTTTGAAATCTGTAGATGATTCTATACGTAGATGTTACTCAGACCATTCTACTGATCTCTTTATCTTGCTTCCTCTCTAGCTGATAATATTGATGATTATGGAATTTCGTGGCAAGATTCAGTGAAGTGAGTTGTTTAAAGTTTTAGAATGATTAATATTGACATATCTTTTCATACTTATCTTCACACTTCCTAACGATCTATGATTTTTCAGATACTCCAGGGACAAATCATTTGATTTTGATTCACAACAATCCTCTTCCAAGGCCTCAGGAATTCCTGGAGGTAAGAAGTTGTTATATTTTACTAGCTAGTACTGCCTATCTATCCATTTTTCAAGTGTGATTAGAATCTGATTATAATCTAATTTTATTCACTGTGAAAAGTAAAAGCTGATCAAAAGACACTGGAAGCTCCCAAACCAATGATAAAGTTGTCTAAGGATGATTATGAGGGTCTTCCTTCTTACATGAAAAGCCTAGCATCATGGGAGGTATGAATTTCTCTTGAGTTCACTATTTTGGCCTGTTATCTTACCATTTAAAGGCTAAGACAGAGATGGAGACTCATATGGAATATTTAGTACTTACATGGATAAAAGGAAAGATAACGTGTCTTATCAAACCATTACGAAACTTCAAGTTTAATGTGTCTATTCTGATGTTTATAACTTTGCGGGTTAGTTAATATGCCTCCACTCAGTTGAAGTGTAATTTTAAGAGGGTTTTGGACAATTATGACTGGTTGATGAAAATTGTTGAGGGTGTTTATTTTGACAGTTTATATTCAGAGCAGTTTATGAGTTAGTTCTATAGAAAATAGGTTATTGCAGTATTTGTTTTGTAAATATGGCTTATAAGCTCATGGCTTACAACTAAAAAGAGTTTCTGAGATGTCTTTTGGTTGCTTATGTTTTCTCAAGTATTAAAGGAATCTGTGAGGGGATACAGACAGAACAATCACAAATAACAATACTAAACAATTATTCTTATTTCAGACCCTAATAATCCATAGAGTTTTTCCCTTGACATGCAGATTACTTGTAAAATCTCTTTTTATTAATTTAGAGTCGATTTAGTAATGCACTTTGGATGGGTATGCTCAAAATGGCTGTCACCTTGATATTCAATTATGTCCTTAAACAATAGCTGTAGTTTATCTCATTTGATTTTGCTGGCAAACCAGGGAATTGTTCTGATATTTTCTGGCCCTAGTATTTTCCTTTCTGTGAATTATTCTCTATGTTGCACATGGTGATCATTGTATCTTGGGGTTATGCTGGATATATATTGTACATTGCTTAACTTGCATTTGTAAGTAACATTTACTTTGAATACGAATAATCTCTCTCTCTCTAGGAGATTTTCCCTCATTAATTTACAGCCAATTCTCTGTGTGTATATAAAGCTTGTACATTCAACTTGGTGCTCTGTTGACTTCCAGGATCTGCTTGGTGCTGTAGAGAAAATTAACTCAAGCCTGCGCAAGAGAGAGAAAACAGAGGAGATCATCTACTTCAACAAGGATGAGATTGCCTCCTTAATGGGTATGCTTGTCAAGCTAATTTCTTCTTGTTTTTCAGTATCAGTATCTCGACAACAAAGTTGTAAGTGTTCTTCACCAGGTTCTGTTTCAATTTGTTTCACTTCATAGATAACTGAAACTTCATGACCCAAAAACTCAACATAGATGTTAGGTTGTAATATACTATATAATCTGTGTGTACATATATGTATATATACTTATATTTAATGCCAAGCGTAATCCTCAAAGTTAGTAGGTACTTCTAAAATACTAGCATTTACTGTTTTACCGTCTGAATTAGAAGTTAGCTGGGGGGGTAAATTGACTTGGTGGTGGTGTGGTTTGTTTGTTGTAGGGGCTAATGGAAGAGCTTATCTGCTACTGCTCATGCGCATGAACCTGTTTGCTGTTGAGACCATCAATGGTGAAATCTCTTACAGAGTCCTGTAAAATGCTTTAACGCACACCATTTGGATGCCATATTTCCTAATGAAGTTAGCTGTTTTTAGGAATCAAAAAAGACATATTTTCTTAATATTTTGAATAAATATATATATATATTTTAAATATTTGAGAAACAAAAAATAATTCCTTATTTTTCTCATGTATATTGAAAAAAAAAAAGTAAGATACGAACACATAATTATGTTATGATATCAAAGATAACTTGTAATTAAATGGAAGTGTAAATTTATCAACTTCGATAAAAAAAAAAATGGAATAAAATATATTTTAATATAATTTATTTAAAGAAAATTTTCATATTTAAAGAGTATTTTTATTTAATGTAAAAAAAAAATTTAGTTAAAAAAAGATACTTTTCTTAACATTTTGAAAAAATATACATTGAAATATTTGAAAAACAAAAGTGCAACAAAGTATAATTTCTTATTTCTTTCATGTGATGTAACACTTGAGTTTAAAAATTAGGTATGAGATAAGTTCTACGTTAATAAAATAAGTGTATTAAAATAAATTAATATTTATTTTATTTTATTTTTGTAAAATTATTGAGAAAAAATAGATTAGGTATGAGTTTAAAAATAATTTTTTTTAAAAAAGATGAAATCGTGAATAAATGAGGATGTTTTTGAAAAAAAAATTAAAAATAGGGAATAAATTTACAAAAAGAAAAAATACGACCATGTGGTACGACCACGTCAACGACAACAGCGACTCAGAGTATTTCACGTGGCGGACACGCTAACACTGAGTTCACGCTAACAATTCGCGTGCCTGGGCAGTCTAATGGTCTAGATCGTATTTCACACGCACGAATGATTTGAATATGTTTCCTCTTTAAACGCGATCGGATGAATGAGATTGATCATGATGGTCGGTTCTAATTCGTCCACGTGATTGGCCTAAACAGGCAATAATCGGACGGTTTCTCTCGCTCCACGTCGACTCGAATGGACGACCTGGATCGAATAGAGAGGAGTATTTAAACTCCTCTTCGTAGGGAACCAAAACCCTAGTCGACAGAGCAGTGACCAGAGAAGAAGAAGAAGGGCGGCGGAGAAGTGAACCAAATGTCGGAGAAGGAGATCGGCCACCGTCGATGCTGAAAAGGTAAGATTTTCATCCCCTCCGCTCGAAATTTAAGCCGAAATCTTCCTATGCCTATATCGTAGTTGAAAGGCCGATGGGTGAGTTAGAAAATACGAGCGAAGCTCGACTGAGCCACCACGGTAGAAATCCAAAACCCCCTCCGATGACCCTCTTCCCGCTTCCCGTTTCACATGATTTTTTGACTGTTGTGTTCCTTGTCTTTCTCTGGTACAAGTAAGCCGAAGGAGAACCTTGACCGTGAAGGAGGAACGACGGAACTACTGCATTCGGAGACCCCCCCGGCCAGTAGGGTTTCAGTTTTTGCCTTTTCCGGCCAATAGACACCTCCTAAGTTGGTTTTTTTGCAGGTTTCCATGCAAAATCGACCGAAAACGAGCAGATTGAGAGGAATTGTCATCGTAGGCGGCAGAGCGAGCACCGAAACACGGCGACACTACCATATCGGAACCCTAAATTTGTCGGAAAAGTTTTTAAAATGCTTATTTTGGCCTTTTGATGTATTTTTAGATATGTGACGAGTATTTTTAATATTTGCAGAAAAAATTCAGGAAACTCAAGGACCACCAGGAGGCGCAGTGAAAAGTACGGTGTTTCAGTCACTGATCCGGGATAAGAATCCCTCACTCTTTTGTTATGGTAAATTAAAGGTTAATAATGAATAATATTGTGCTTTGTGAAAATTAGAAAAATTTTAAAATTAATTACATGTCATTAGTAAAACCGAAATTGATCAGTATGTAATTGCTTATTTTATTTGCATTGCTCATTTATGTCTATACTATTCGGTTTACTTACCATACGCACTTTGATTTATTGGTTTAATTGCTTTCTCATTTATTGATTGCTTAATAGTTTATTTTTATCTGTTGACTGATTTGAAATAAATGCCCTAATTACGTTTCTTAATTGTTAAGGTATAAATTTGTATTGTCTGCTTAAATGTCGTTTTATTGATCTATAAAAATGAAATGAGATGTTAGTATGTGATTGGTGATGGTTTGATGATATGAATCTATATATGAAAGGCTTACTAGGTAGCTTGGGAAAGGGTGGACGGACCCAGTACATAGAAAAATCCTACCATGGACATTACCTTAATCGTGCGGGGTTGAGAAATCCCATACTAGAAGGGGTTGAGAGGTATAATTCACCCTCATACCAGATGGGATATTGAGGTGGTGACATATTTAGCGCCCATTACCAGACCGGGTATGGGAATAGTCGGTTAATCGATAACTTGGAGTTGTAAATAAAGATTACCTCCTGGACCTCATCAAAGTTGCCCAACGGAGGTTAACCCCATAGGATTTTTATTTCGTTTGCTTTAATAATTTATTTTATTACT